TTCCAGCACTTTCGGAAGAATAAGATTCGAAGCCATCAGCTCCTGTGCTTTATCTCTACTGAATGATTTAATACATTTTCCAACTCTTCCATAGAAAAGGTCTCTGCAGCCTCTCCTTGTCATCATCAGAAAGAGTCATCAAAGTATCATCTTCCCATCTTGGACTCCATTCTTCAGTTTCGCTGAACAATTTCTCATAGAATTTCTGAATATGAGATTTGATTCTGTTATCATCATCCACCAACTCTCCATCAATTTCTATCTTGTCAATACAATTGAATCTCTTATGGGCATTAGCTTGTCTCTGAAAAAACTTAGTATTTTTATCCCCTTGCTCAAGCCATATGCATCTGGACTTTTGTCTTCATGATATCTCTTCAGCTTTTGCCAATTCCTCCAGCTCCATCATGATAGAATTTCTTTCTGAATCATTTTCATCATCCTGATCAAATCCCATACCACGGTCAATTTCTTCCAGTCTGGCCAATGCCTTATTTTTCCTATCCTCCAATTTACCAAAGACCTCTTTATTCCATTTTTTAAATCGCCTTTCAAAAGTCTAAGTTTCTTTGCAAGAACAACATCAGGATCACCTTGAAGATTGTAAGATTTCCACCGGTTGTCAATTAGTTCTAAGAACCCTTTATGCTCCATCCACATATTTTCAAATTTAAAGTACCCTTTTCCTTTTCTCCAGTCTCCATATTCTAATAAAATTGGGCAATGATCTGAAGTAGTTCTAGGAAGAACCCTCTGTTTCACAAATTTAAAATGTGCATCCCAATCTTCAGATAATAAGAATCTGTCAATCCTGGAAGCACTTCGACTGTTTTCCCCCCTAAACCAAGTATAGGAACCTCCATGAAGTGGGAGATCAAACAAAGAAAGATCATGAATAAATTTTGAGACCTCTCTCTTAGCTCTTGAGTTCTTGGTTCTTCCCCTCTTCTCCTCTTCAAACCCGATTACATTAAAATCCCCCCCTTGCCCACGGTTGAGCCATAATTCCATTAATTGCAGCCAATTCCTTCCATAAGTCTTTCCTTTCTTTCCTATCACATGGACCATAAACTCCCGTAAAAGCATATTGGTATCCAGATTTTTCTTCTTCCAGTAAGATTGTGACCGAATGTTGACCCTTGATGTGCTCCAAACATTTCCATCTTCTTTTATCCCAGAATATAACAATCCCACCACTGTTACCATGTGCTTCCATTTCAATCCACTCAGTCCACCTTGATCCACCAATCTGTCTGATGCACTCTAGATTTATCTTTTTCATTTTTGTTTCTGTCAAGCACACAATATCAGCCTTCCATTTACATAACACTAATTTTACCGGTTCCCTTTTTTTCTAACTTGTTAACACCCCTCACATTCCAACAAATTATTTTCAACTTCATAGATCAACTGGAACTGCTCTCCTTCCCTTTCCTCTCCCCCTTTAGATGTATCGCCTCCAAAGCCCACTCCAAACTCTGAGTTGCTTACCATTTCAATTGCCCAGAATCTTTCGTTTGGGTCTTCTTCTTGCTGAATATCATTCGTGACCTTCCTTTCTGGAGAAAAAGTTTTTGTTTTTATCGCCTCAACTTCAACAGCTAAAGGGTCGAAGGAGTTGGATAATTCTGGATCTCCGGCATTAGAAAAGGGCTTTTGAATACATGGGTCAACCACTTTTACTCTATAACAAGCTTTTTGGCCCATTTTTTTCTGATTATAACCCTCATTTGGGCCTGAATTCTGTTTTGAAATATTAGAGCCCTTCAGCCCATTATTGTAACCAGCCTTGTTTGCAATAGAAATATTTGGGGGCCCACATTTATTAGATGACACCTGATTCTTCCTTTTAAACGACGCGTGGCCCATCCCCAAACTCAAGTTTAGGTTATTAAAAATTCTTGGCACACGTATCTCACGTGCCTCCGATCTCATAATTTCAGTTGCCTTGGAACTCGAAGGCGCTGATTGTGTCTCATTAATGAGACTCTTCGAATTCTGAGAAACTTTCCGATGATCTTCTCCTCTTCTCCGATCACCTTCTCTGTCACTATTCCGGCCAACTTCCTCCACCCAAGAAATTGATTCGACCCATAAAGGAACTTTGAAGTTAAGATTTTCCACAATCAGTTCGATTGATGCCGGAAACGATGTATCGGAGTTTTTTACACATATTCTCGCCCATCTCAAATGTCTTCTATTTCTTGTGTCTTCATCAATACCCAGATAGCCACCATACCGGTCAC